GTGTTTAGAAACGCTTACCTTACGCAGGCGTTTTTCAGTGAGGCTGTAGTGTAACTGGGCACACGGTCTGGCTGCAGCTCCAACTGTGAACAGACCAGCTTTCTGGAACTGAAGCAGCTGAAAAGAGAAACCCACAGGAGAGTTAAGACTGGATTTGTAGTTTTTCCCTTGGGGTGGTAAAGAAGCAACAAACTTACCACTTCCAGGGAAAGGTCATCTTAAATGTGAAATTCTTATCTGACATTTTCAACTCTAATTTAAGTCACTTTTCCTTTATTTTACAATAACTTTAGTCTGAACAGTCACTTCTTAAAACCTTAACTATTGATGTTTGTTAAGTATTTGGATGCTCTTATGAAATAACTTACTCTAGACTGTGCAAACACTGACTGTAATGTGAATGCTTCACAAAATTAAATTCTTAGCACGGACACAAGTGTGAACACCACCTGTTTTTGTTTAAAAGCTTGACAGACTGACAGAGAGATGATCTACCTCACAGTACTCCGGCTTTCCGTCCTCCCAGAGGCACTCTAACAGCTCCAGTCTGCTGAAGGAAAGGTCAGAGGTCACAGCCCTGTTTTGGCGTCTCCCACTCCGCATCTCACAGGCGACCTGCACCGCTGCTCCTGTTAATCTGCAGTGAGAACGATAAAGAGAAACAAACTCTTGGTCTCGGTGGGAAAACTTGACCAACTGTGTGTGAATGCAATTTGAGAGAGAGGACGGAAGCAGGACCAACAAAAAGTCGGAAAGAAGGAGAAAAAACCCTCCCAAAACATCTGCATCCTCCTCAATACCTACAGACTAACTTCATTAATGTTTGTAGTACTTAAGAAATATATAACTACCATCTAATGATCAATCACAAGCACCTGATTATGAAAGTGTATTTTTCTATCTCCTTCCATACAAAACCACATTAAAGACGATGTGTGCATTTTTTAACCTGAGATTTGAGTGTGGGCAGGCTTTGGCGAATCCGCCTCTCAGTTGATGGAAGTCTCTTTCACTGAACATGCTGTCCTTGAAGGCGGTCAGCTCCTTGAAAAACACGTTAGACACCTGAGCCAATGACGAGGCTCCGTCAGCACTGGAGGGTTGTGGATCTTCCTGCAGAAGGGTTAAAGTGAGTCCGCCAAGGGTCAGTCGCAGCAACGCGTCAGGCTTCAGCTGCTCTGCCTGGCCGCTGTGTGATCGTCCTGCAAAGATGAGAGTTCAGCATAGAGACAAAGCACAGCCATTAATATAAGGATATAAGTAAATTTAATTTGCTTTACATTTAGGTGGCATAGTGTTAAGACACTGCTTCTATTACTAAGTGCAATCATAACACTTGTTATATTAGACCCCCTGATTCTTTTATAGGCACAAATGCCAGGACTCCCTTATTTTAACACCATCTTCCCTTCTCTTTTGCTGTTTCTCCTAGAAAAGTCCAGCAACTTTCTTGAAAATCTAACTTTTTAATGTGTACATATATATATCAGACATGCAAGCTTTTTGTTTTCATCTAAAGTTGCAAGACTGCCCATTAAACACAGCCTACATGCAAACCTGTCAACCCAATTCAGGGTGTATGTCTGCAGGTAGACCAATTAGATGCTCCCTGACTTAGTTATTTTTACTTCACCACTTCAGCTCCTTTTATAGCAAAGGCAAAATGAAGAGTAAGACTTGAAAATACTGAAAAATCAATAACTTTGTGGCTTTTGTGAAGCTGGAAAGATTCAAGCTTCCTGAATCAATAGCAGCACATTTTTCCTGAAGTATTCAGGTAGAGCGTGAGCTTCAACCAAACTGTTCAGTCCTCTGGCCGGACAAATAGCTCTGGCATCTCT